TTAACATAATAGATCAAAATATTTCTACAAATTGCTTTGCTAGGACCTATTTTTAAACGTTGACAGGAAAGATAATGAAGGTACTAAAAAATAAAATAAAGTCTAGATCATGGGATTTTCTAAATTATTAAAAAAAATATAAAATGTAAGAACAAACATATGCCTTTAAGAAACAATAAAGTTAATATATCAGCCAGGAAAAAAAGTGAAGTAGAATATTAAATGTAATATCTTTAAAGAGAAAGAAATTATTATGTATACCAAAACCAATGGACTGTACCTTTGTTAATAATTGTCCGATTATTAATAAACCCTCCGTCAATACAATTGTTTAAATTATACATATTGCTAATAGATTTTTACGTTTTTTTTTTTTTTTTTTGTTTTTTTTTGTAGATAATTTAGTAATCTTTCTAATATCATGGGTACAATCAAGAAAAAAATACATACTTTTTGAGTTATTCGCAAATAAAGTTTCTTTTCCTTCAGAACTTTTTTCCTGAACTTTCGGGGGAATAGAACTATTTTTCGTATGTGAAGGAAGAGAATATCTTCAGAATGAGTGGTTATTCATTGGATTTGATGAATTGACAAAGTAGAAACAATAAATAGGATTATAATTATGACTATGGACTATTTTTGATGAGAATAATCAATCTTGAAATCTTTCAATTCTGGTTAGATATCAGACCTTGCAGTCATATCTCAGAACTGGCTTTGACATTTTCAGAATTTCCATACCTTGAGAGAAAAAAGATCTATTTTCACTAGTTATACACTGGTCTATCTCTAACAGTTGGTCATTTATTGAGGTTATTGTGGAAAAGAGGACTTTGTACAGTCTGAGAAACAATTTTCCATAGACACATATCTTGTTGTCTGGGCAAATTATTTGGCTTACCATAATACATTTAGTTTTAAGCTGGTTTGTTCTGCTACTCTTATCAATTCCCTCTTAATTTAATCTGAGAACATTGTATTTTTTATTGCATCTGAGAATATTGTTCTCTTCATTGAATTTTTTAAATAAACAAACATGTATAGGATCATATCACTCTTCCTTTGGGATTATTTCTCGTAGCTATCATGGAAAAAAGAAATAGAAGTATATAAGATGTTTTGAGGGAAAATAATTTCTCTTAGAATTTTTCCATTTATTTAGGTCATTACAACATTTTGAGCCAATCGGCTCATTTTCAAGCTAACAAAAGTTTGTGACATATCTAACAAATTTCCATACTATAAAAATTTTATTCTTGTTTACTTTCAGTCCAATAATACAAAACCAAACTTGTTCTAAGCATTTTATTCGTATTTAATGAAATGTATATCATTTAAAAAAAAAAATTGATACTAGCTAATCTCCCTCTCCTCTTCTAATTTAATGTGACTAACCTAAATTAATTTAATGAGATTAAATGTGAATAAAATGCAAAGAACAAGTTTGGTTATGTATTGTTGGACTGAAAGTAAACGAAAATAAAATTATATAATATAGAAATTTGTTAGATATGTCATAAACTTTTGATAGCTTGAAAATGAACCGATTGGCTAGAAATGTAATGACCTAAATAAATGGAAAAATTCTGAGAGTAATTCATTTCCTTGAAAACACAGTGTATAATTACATTGAGTGCCAATGAAAAACGTGGTACTGAAAAGTAACTAAATATAAAAAAAAAGTATTTTAGTGTGATACATTCTGATGTGAATTTATCTTCTTTGCTTCTCTATGAGATTTAAATTATTCAGATCTAAGGAAAAATTGTGATTGAATGATGGTCCAGCAGGAAGAAGAGCATTCCATACTTCTTCATGTTCATTATTATGTACACTTTATAGCAGTTTTAAAACTTTATTCCAATTTTTTCATAAAATTAGTTCATTTTCTGAGAAGTATACATATAAATTCTTTAGAGAGCTTTTCCGGGGTCAGACATATATCTCATTTTGAACACGAGAGTCTCTTTACTTAAGGCTTGTCAAGGTGCCTTATTAGTTTTAAAAACCTAACATATTTTTCTAAAAAAAAAAAAAATCATAGTAGAAGGCTCAGAACTAATAATCAGTCTAACTAAATAAAAACAACACAATATTTTCAAAATTTGAAATAAATATAAATAAGTATTTTTACTGAAATTTTAAAAGATGAAAATATATTGTGTAAACAATCACTTTGTACATTATACAATACATATAATGTATAATATGTGCATTATAAAATATGTTTTTGCATTAAAAGATAAATCTATAACTAATTCTGAAATAACCGATACAATTAAGGAAAATAAAGATTGAAGCTACTCATCATCATCCGTTGGCGCTATGATCCTTGCAGACAGAACCTTGGCCTCCTCTACTATTCTCCTCTAAGCCGACCTGTCTTCGGCCACTCCTCTCCATCCAACTATATCAAGGCTCCTTAGATCGTTTTCAATGCCTTCTTCCAGCTAACGAAGTCTAGTCCTGTCTCTTTTTCTTCTCCCACCCAGGTATCCCTCCATCATAATTTTAGGGAGCTTGCTATGTTCCATTCTTTGCGTTTGACCCAACTATCTTATCCTTCCCCTTTTTATGGTGGGTTAAAGCTATTTGAGAACCATGATTCTTTTGTTAATATGGTTCAAAATTTATTGAATTAGAAATAGCATCTTTGTTTTCAGACAAATCCAGAAAATTTGTGGAAAAGAGTTAAAAAATAATTAATACTCAGCATTCTTGAGCCTTGAACTAGCTTTTGACTGTGTATTTAAGAAATATACATAAGTAGGAAGTCCTTTGGGTCATGAAAATTTTTGGAAACTTTATAGATGCTATTGGTAAACAAAATAAAATATATTTATTGAAAATTATTGCAATAATATTTTTTTTTTAGTTATAAACATATAACTTTAATTGTGGTATTCATATAAAAAATTATAAAGAAAGATACAACTGGGGTATAGCTGTAATGTCTTTGCTTTTATAATAGTTATGTTTTTTAGGATAACTGTTTTAGTAGTAATAAATGATCATGCTTAATAGTTATCTATCCAGACTCAAAATTTAACTAAAATTAAATTTTTCAATCATAAATTTTTATATATTAAGGTTTGTACTATATATTTATAGAGTGAGCCCCAATTTTTCCATTTAGAAACTCTGTTATTTCTTCGCATTCGCAATGGCATTTTTCGAAAAAGTTAAAAGCTAAGAGTATTCAAATAATTTAGATAGCTTGTATAAATTTTACCGTGTCTCCAATATTGATAGTTTGAGCCTAAAATTTCTCCTCTAGCTAAAAAAATTATCTTTAGAAACCCATGGTTTGCATCCTTTGTTTTATAGTGATTAGGTAAATTATGCTCTTGCTTGGCATGAACAGAATGGAATCTCTCTTAGCTCTTTACAAATTATCATTATTGTTTAAAACAACAATATTGATCATCAGATTCACCACAAAAAAATATTTTATGTTTAATAACTCTTTTTACCATTGTATATATTTTCCCAATATTACTTTTGCTTTAAATTAAGTCAATCTTCCTGGGCCATGGACAGTTCAGCACTAAATTTAGATACATGAGATGTAGTAAGAGTGTTAAAAAAAATTGTTCCAGGTGTTTAAAACCTGTTTCAATGTAGAGCTACAAACCAGTAAATTAAATAATTTTCAGATAAAGCACCTATTAAATTTCTCTACTTCCTCCACATATACAAAACTTCAATATTCGAACTTCGATGGTTTATTTATTATAGGGTTGAGAAATCATGAACTACGTTGTCATAATAGTTAGAGAAAAATGAAATAATCTGAAAACTAATTATTGACAGTGCAATAACAAGCGCTGGAGAAATCTATTGCGAGGATGATTGAAAGATGAATATTTAATGTAAAATAGTGTTAAATTTGATACAATATCCAACATCCCTGGATCAGGGGTCCTTCAGAATAGATTTCAATAAGTTAATTCAAGTTTAAAATATAAATTTTCTTACACATTAATAAGTTTATAAGAAATAGTTGTTAACTTTCAGACCTAAGCTTTGAATCTTCAACCAGATATATCCTAACTAATATGCATCTATTGGTATTTATAAAAGTGATTAATAATCACTATAGTATGTATCTGTATCTATTAATTCTGATATAATGATAAGTATTCCAAAGAATTTTTCAGGTTAATACAGGCAACAATTATGAATTGGATATATTAAAACTTGAACTCAAGAAAATATTTTAAGATAAATGAAAAGATAGGATTTCTGAACATGAATTTATAGAAGTAAGGGGGGGGGGAGATTTCACAGGTTAAAAATTGTATCTGGGTGGTCCATAGTACGAATTAATACCTATAGATAAATAATAATAATAATAAAATATAAGATAAAAATTAATATAAAATAAATGTTCATACAATTTTATTCAATAATATTTCATACAAGTTGACATCGCTATATATAAATGATCGATTTAAAAAGCTAGTATACAAAAATTATTTAATGCGCTTTTCTATTCATAATAAATTAACAACGTTAATTTTTGTTTTCTATAAATTCATGAAGTTTCGAAATTCGTGATTAATAAAACATATACAGCACAATATTGTCAATATATCAATGTCAACATAATATGTTTAACTTCGATAGGTTAGTTCACAAAGCTTCGGTATTTTCGTCCATAGCATTTTTTTTTAGTGGATTGAAATTTATTTTAAAACGATAAAGAACATTTATATTTGTCTTTTTTACTGTTATATTTTGAGTGTTTTCAATTCCAAGATGGATTATAACAAGACTGGTTTTTCAGTTTTGACACCAAACTCCGTTTTCTGTTGGGACCTGTCCTGTGTTTTTACTTTTGAACTCACAAACGTGATAGATGTTCGCCCTAAACTTTTAGAAGTTTCAAATGCATTAAGAATCAGATCGAAGTTATAAGTGATCGAGGAAGTTTTAAATTATATGTACTTTGAAGTGTATAATGTGATAGTGAGATTATTGTTTAGTTCTTTATAAAAATGACTGAAGTAACAAAATCCTCTGACGAAATTTTGACAGAACTATTTGATTCGTTTAAAGCTGAAGCCAAAGTTGATGTTTCTGATAATTCTGTAACACCCAAAAGTCCTAAAGATGAATCATCTAGAAGTAAGAAAAAACGTAAGAAAGATAAAAAGCATAAAAGTGATGAAAAGGATAAACATAGGAAAAAGAAGAAATGCAAAAGACACAAGAAAAAAGAATCCTCTAACCAAAGTGATAAAAGTAATAAGCCGAAAAAGAAGAAGAAACGGAAGCTTTCAAGTGATTCCTATGATAGCGAAGTTGAAGCTAAACAAAGTACTAAAGTAGAAAATGTGGAAAGTTGTAACAAAGAAAATAATCTACCTGAAGAAAAGAAAATTAGTGAAGTAGCTGTTAATAACCTTAGTTCTGTTGTAAATAATTTTGCTGTTGCCTGTGATACATCCAGCATCCCCCTTCCCCCTTCGATAGGAGATTCGATATTAACTCAAAAGGTTGCTCAAGATGTTCCTGAGGTTAAAAAACCTCAAGTCTCAGAAGTGTTTGAAAAACATGCTGAAAATGTTGGAAAACCTACAAAAAAACTATTTCTACAAGGTTTAGGTAAGTTTTAAAATATTTTATCGACACTTTAATATTTAGATTCACACTTTTATGAAAAATAAGTTCTTGTTATTTGGTATAAATAAGTGATAGTAGTAAACTGTTGTATTTTACATCAATCATATGGTTCTTTAGTTTGTTAATAATGCTGGAAACATTCAAACTTGATTAAATCTTGTTTGTTGCTTCATTTTTATAATTTTAATATATAATCCTTGGTTAAATGTTTTATTTATTTCTTTTAATTGGTGCCTATTTTTAGACAAACCAAAAATGTCGATTAAGATAGGGAATTTGAAGAACAGTCAAGTTTTGGAAGCTGCTGAAGAAGCAAAAATAAAGGCTGATAAATATGAGGAGGGCGAAATAACTGATGAAACCAGTGAGGAATCAACAAAATTGCTGATGAAAATTGAAATGGAAGCTACATCTGGTGATTATTTTTTGTTCTATTAATTAATTCATAGCAATATTAAGCATTATGTATTGCAGTCAATTTAATTTTTTCAAAACTTACATTTAATTAAAAATTATTACCTGTAGATAATACTTCTATATTTAGTGTTTTAAATTATAATTTAACTATGTGTATTATATGTCAACAGCTGAAAATTAATTACAAATTTCATTATCTTAAGATGCATTTAGATATTTCACCACTATGGTAAACAATTATCTAACTTAACTAATAGCTATATTAGTGCTAACCCAACTTTTTTATTTGTTTCTCTTGTTACCAACAGCAGATGGAAAATATCAAAAACATTAGCATAGGAAAAAAAATTTACATATTCGTTTTCCCATTGTGAAATGTCTTAACGCATATTCAGACCTTTATTATAAGATACTTAAAGATTCTTTTCTACTTCCAGCCTAAATTAAATAAATTTATGATTTTGGTAGTTATCAGTTTTGAAAATTTAAAATTATAAGATTGAGTGTCTTATTGTTGCTGTGTTTTTTTAAAGTAGGTAATACTACAGTAGTGTCATCGGGTTGACAGGTTGGCTAAGATCACATCGATCATACATTTTTTGGAGTACTAAAACAGGCGGGTTTTGAATCTGAAACCTTCTTTTTATTAAATAACTTCATGAATAGACTTATTTCTTGTGTTAGGGTTATAGTACATGCCAATACCAAATTAGCTCAGTTTTCATGATCCTGGCTGGCGATAATCACAATGCCATCTATACTATTTCATATTATTAGTTAACATTCAGGTTCTATCATATTACAAATATAGCAAAATACATACAGTTTTTGTGTTTCCGATAGATAATAATGATGACTATTAATACTTTTTCTGATTATTAAAAATAATAACATTAAATAACTATAGAAGAGAATAATGGTTGGGCCTAGTCCTGACGAAGACCTGAACTTTAAACCAAAACGTCAGCAAAAATAAAAATAAATATAAAGGAAGGAGATGGTCCGGGGTTGCCGTCATAAAAAGGCTAAATAGCTGTAAAACTATTTTATTGAAAGCCAACGTTTCGACCCGACTTTGCAGGTCTTCATCAGGGCTAGAACGGACAAGATACAAAAAGATAGAGAATTGTGGCAATTACATAATATTTAGACATAATTTATAAACAATGTGAATAAGCTTATTAGAATTATAAACAGTAAGTACAATAAAATTAAGCCTGAAGGACTAAGTAAGCTGAGTAACAAGATCCTAAACTAACGTAAACAGATGCTAACAATTGTTGTAGTGTAATATATAATAAATGAAAATGTGAGTATAATTCTACAAAATCTACAAGAGAAAAATAAAATTAGAGACTTACAGGTGTGTTCATCTAGGAGTTTCACTTAGAACTGGAAAGGCAGTGGTAAGGATTGCATGTTTAGGGGAAGTTACCATGTGTTAACTGAGTAAACATTGAAAAACCCAGGAAATTACAGTATCTAGGAATTTTTGAAGATATGGATGGATACAATGGAAAAATACTATATATATGAAATATTAAATTATAAATATAAATATACATATAAAATAGAGTTGAGAGATGTGAGAGGTATTTCATGATTCTAGATCAGAGTACAATGTGAATAAACCCAAAATTGGCAAAAGTAAAATATAAATATAGAAATAACTTCATTAACATACATACATTGCAGAGCTAACTTAAAAGTATAGAGAGGGAAAAAAAAATTAATGCTTATAATTATATTTGGTTGTACATATGTAAGAAAATTACATTTGAATATTAGATAATGAGACATGGTTAATAAGTAAAATTAATACAAAGTGGGAAAAAAGGATGATCATACATTGGTGTAGAGTGTAAATGTAAATTTAAAATAAAATAGAAGAGAGATCATACAAAGAAGGAATATTTAGAATAATGAACAGTTAAATGAATTAATTAATAAAAATTGGGAGTAGATGAAAATAATAGAATTGAATATTTAAGTTATTTTTCCCTTATAAGGCTTAAAATGTGTCTATATGTAAGAGAAATATAGTTTTTGTCTAATTTGTGATTAACGGGATTGTGTTCCATGTGAATGTGGATAGATTCGGAAATGAGTCTTTTTTCACGGTTAGGGACCGTGGAAAGTATAGAGGTTTTTTCAAAATCAAATGAGTGGTTGAGTGTTAAAGCATGTTCTGATAGTTTTGAGGCGGAAGGATTCCGGGAAGTTATGAAGGTTTTATGTTGGGAAATGCGGGTTTTGAGATAGTTTTTGGTTTCACCGATATAGGAGCTATTGCAATTAGGAGTAGAGCAAGGTATCCGGTAAACTACATTGGATCGGTGTTGTAAGAACCATCCAGGTGTTGTATCCATCCATATCTTCAAAAATTCCTAGATACTGTAATTTCCTGGGTTTTTCAATGTTTACTTGGTTAACACATGTTAACTTCCCCTATACCTGCAATCCTTACCGCTGCCTTTCCAGTTCTAAGTGAAACTCCTAGATGAACACACCTGTAAGTCTCTAATTTTATTTTTCTCCTGTAGATTTTGTAGAATTATACTCACATTTTCATTTATTATATATTACACTACAACAATTGTTAGCATCTATTTACTTTAGTTTAGGATCTTGTTACTCAGCTTACTTAGTCCATATTTTATTGTACTTACTGTTTATAATTCTAATAAGCTTATTCACATTGTTTATAAATTATATCTAAATATTATGTAATTGCCACAATTCTCTATCTTTTTGTATCTTGTCCGTTCTAGCCCTGATGAAGACCTGCAAAGTCAGGTCGAAACGTTGGCTTTCAATAAAATAGTTTTACCACTATTTAACCTTTTTATGACCGCAACCCCGGACCATCTCCTTCCTTTATAATGCAACGGTCAACTATTAAATATTCAAAAATAAATATAATTATTTATTTTTATAACTTGTGCCATGAAGTTGTAAAAATAAATAATTATATGTATGTTATATAATATTCACCGTAATCTTAACTAATCGAAACACGGAATACGCATGATGATAGACTACCAATATGGGTTTAGAAGGAACCGTTCGATTATTGATCAAATATTTTCTTCACGACAAATATTAGAGAAAAAATAGGAATACAATGGTGTTGTTCACCAGCTGTATATTGATTTAATAAAGGCTTATGATTCTATTGACCGCCAGAAACTTTATAATATTTTGATCGAGCTGGGGATCCCCAAAAAAATTATTAAATCTAGTTAGGATGTGCTTGATGGAAACACTCAATAAAGTTAGAATCGGTTATTATTTATCCGAGAAATTTGAGATTTGTTTGGGCTTAAAACAAGGTGATTCTCTTTCACCTGTGATATTTAATTTGGCATCAGAACATGCCATTGGAAAGGTGGTACATACCCATAAAAGTTTGAACTTGGGTGGAACAATATCCGTGCTTGAGTATGCTGATGATTTGGTACTGTTAAGCGAAGACATGGAAACAATAAAACTAAATACAACAACGTTGATGGAAGCTGGTAAAGAACTAGGACTAGAGATAAATACGGATAAGACAAAATATATAGTTAGCTGCAAAAACAGCGACAATTCCGATGATATCGATATAGAAGGGAATGTGTTTGAACACATAGAATTTTAGGTATCTAGGGTCTACGAAAACTAGAAAAAATGAAATTGAAGGGAATATTAAGGTTAGGCTAAAGGGAGGAAATGTTTGTTATTTTTCTTTGTCAAAATTACTTAGTTCTCGCCTCCTGTCATGAAACTTAGAAATTAAAATTTACAAAACCATTATCCTTCCTACTGTTCTTTATGGATGCGAAACGTGGCCGCTTACAAAGAGGGATGAGCAATGTCTTAAAGTTTTTGAAAATTAGGTATTGCACAGAATATTTAAACCGAAAAAGGACGAGTCAACCGGAGAACTTAGGCAGTTACACAACAGTAAGGCGCACTGTTATTTCAACTTTTTAGCTAATTGTAATATAATTCAGCCAAAGTTATTGTGACTTATAAGTAACTTAAATAATTTAAAAACTATTTAAAAAAAAATTAAAACAAACAAAGTATTTATAATATATTATCGAAGAAAGTTAGTTGACTATTTCTACATATCATAGGTGATAAATAGTCAAGACGCAGTCATTTCTCAGGTTTTTATTGGTGCCGACGTTTCATCTGTAGCATGTGGATCATCATTAATGCTCGAAGTACGCCCTTATGATGACCCATATATTTCTTCTTTTTATAACTTTCGATAAGTAAATTATAATTTGAATTTTATGTTATAAAAATTACAGTAAATTATTTAGGCTCTGGTCAAATTTTTGTTGTAATGTTTCTGATAGATGTGTATGTTTCAGAATCTCCAATTTTTTTTTTTTGTTACACTTGTTGAAAGTACTTGTTAAATCATCAGCAGGTTCTTCTTAATTAATCAATTAATCCTAGAATGACACGCTTAAATACGTCAACTTATTCTGACACTCTGGGGTGTGGTACTTCCCAAACTTTAAATTATCATAAAATTTAATTGTCATGCTCTGAAAACTCAAATACATTTCAGAAATAAGGTAAATGATCAGGAAAATAAAAAATATATAAATTCAAGGTAACTTTGGATTTGGAAAATATATTTTACATACTCTCGTAAAGTAAAAAGTTTACATTTACAAAAAAAAGCCAAAAAAGGATCAATATTTTTCCATTGAAAATATATTAAGTTTATATCAATTAAATATATATATATATATATATATATATATATATATATATATATGTGTGTGTATTTGGAAATGTAAAATATATACATGATACCGGAAAAAAATTTGTATTTACTTGAAAAAATAATAAAAGCTATAGTGGAGGCCATTTAAGTAACCACTCATTCACAACAATCCAAGCAAACTGTTGCACTATGTTCATTGCAGATAGGTCTCTAACATTGCTGACAAACTATTTTTGTCTTCCTATCTTTCCCTCTCGTGCTAAACAAATATCTTGTCTTGTTATTCTAACAGTAGTTTTTTTTTGTTTTTTTTAATTATCAATATTTCTTTTATGTTGAAACTCATCGTTCCTGTGAGTGTCTCCACTTACAGTCTTCCTTTCAAATATTGCTCAAGTAACGAATAGCCTAACCGAAATAAATAATTTCTCCATTTCATCTTCTTTTTCCAGTTAACTAAGCTGAACAATATCATTCTGTTTATGCCAGCATGGTTCAACATTCCAAAGAAAACTCATAGAGACAACCTCCTTGTTTTTTTTGCTGTTGTGTACACATGACACATTTGATCAAATGTACTGTGTCATCTTTATTTAATATGCTCCTTGTATCTTGTCTTCATCTTCTAACTCTCATAACAATTTATATTGTTGAGAAGAATGATTTCTACAGGAGAAGAATACATTTTTTTTGGTAGTTTCCATACCATAAAAAAACGTCTATATATTAATGTCTGAATTGAAAATATCCCTAATTAATAAATATAACATTAGAAATCCATACCTGAATTATTCGAAGTTTCAAAATAACAAAGAAAACACTGGGATACTAAATTCACCAGACAGTTACATAGACAGCACATTGGAATGTGAAGTACCCAGGAGAGTCGTGTAAACAACACACTGGGGTATGGGATACCCCATAATGACTTCCCATAGCTCTCAATAATAATATAAGCCTTACAATGGAGTGCTAATGACCGTAATTAGCCTGGCTATGTATGATGTTTATTTAAATGAAAAATCTTGACCAAAGAGCTACTTATATAAAAGTAAATTAATATTTAAAATGTGGAGTGTGTCGTTCTAGGGTTAAAGCCATACAAATAATTTCAATAATCACAATTAACCTTATAAAAGAGGACGAACCAAGAACTTTATTATCTATACCCAGCTAAAGTCAGAATTCAATCTACAGTGTGATCAATGTGATCTTGGTCCAGATGTCATGTGGTAATAACACTTGTGAACTAATTTTAATATTAAATTATGGTAATATTTTATATAAGGCCTAGGGATATGAATGACAGAAAATAAGTCTTTTAGTGAATAATGGCTTAAGTATTGTAACTTTATAACTTACTGGAATAGCAATCCTGGCATGATGTGATAGCAAAAAAGACTGATAAAGAACTGCTTAACAGAAACTGGTCAATCAAAATCGCATTATATGAAGGCATGGAGGATAAGATGGGGCATGTAGCTCGTAACAAAATACCACATGGAAGGCCAAAAAGCAGGTAGATAGAATCAACAAAGATGCAATAGAGTTGCGTGCAGATAAAATGGAAAGCAAAGATGGCTTTATAAGACAGATGGGATAAGACAGGCAAAGATGGAGCAGGCTTGTTAAGACAAAAGATCTACATGGCTTGTAATGCCAAAAGAAGAAAGAAAATAGCAATGATTTTTCAACACTGACTGACTTATAAATCTTTCAATATTTCTAAAGCTACTATTACTGTTGAAACAAAAACGTCTTAAATTATTTTTATAATGTTGAGTTGTACTTATAATCCTATACTACTAATTAATATATTCATAATGGTGGAAAAACTTATTACTACTGAAATGGCATATCTATTCACTTTAACTTATCTGGTTTATTCACTATTGAGATTCATTATTAGTTTATCGGAGGAGTTTTGTATTATTATTAAAATAAAACTCTAAGGTGTGTGCTCTTTAGATCATACGATAGAAGTGAAAACATCAAAAAGGCGAGATTAATGATATGAAATATAAATTATACATAATAGCTCATTATTAAAGGGAATGAAATGCTAAAACATTTCCCTTGCTTTGAGTATACAGCTCCAACTTTTAATGTCCGAGATATTTCAATCCATATCTTCAATAAAACTTGTTATCATTTTGTTTTCAACACTTTTTTTTTTCATTTTCGTCTCTCTAACATGTCTTCCCGTTAAGGTACAATTTTGAATAATAGCCCGTTAAACAGAGGATGAAATGCTGAATAATTCCCTTATTCACATACAGTATACAGGTGTGATTTTTAGATTCTGATATATTTTAATCCATTTGCAAAAACACTTCAATTAATCGACTCCAGCCGACTTTAACCGAGCGCTACACATCAGATATCTGACTCTTAATTCACTAATCTAATTCTGTAATAAATCTTATCTCATTCACTCTCCAAAAAAAAAAAAAGTGCAAAATGCGTCTAAAGAAGTTTTCCACTTTAAATATTGGAAAATGACATTAAAACTGAAATGTTATAATCTACAGAAAATAAAATTTTTGTGAGTAATTTGGTCTTTTTTAAAACATTAAATGTTTATTGATTTAAATGTAATAATTACATCAAGATCTAACAAAATAAAAAATAAAATAGAACAATATAAGATTGTTTATTGTTGCATATTGTTAAAAATTTATTGAGTTCTTATTTGTTATGTTTACAGAAAATGGAAGTATAGACAGCAAGAAACAGAAACTCCATTCAGAACAGAAGAAATGTAGAAAAAGGTAATTTTTTTTTTTTGTTAATATATAGTTTTTAAGTGTTATAATTATTTTTATTTTATTGAATATTTAATAGTTGACCGTTGCATTATAAAGGAAGGAGATGGTCCGGGGTGGCGGTCATAAATAGGCTAAATATTGATAAAACTATTTTATTAAAAGCCAACGTTTCGACCCGACTTTGGAGGTCTTCTTCAGAGAGGTGTATTCAGCAAGGAGTTTCACTTAGAACTCAATAGACTTGTGTTCTAAGTGAAACTCCTGGTTGAACACACCTCTCTGAAGAAGACCTGCAAAGTTGGGTCGAAACGTTGGCTTTTAATAAAATAGTTTTGCCACTATTTAGCCTATTTATGACCGCCACCCCCGACCATCTCCTTCATTTTTATTTTATAATATTACTTTCAGTTCCGGTTTTGGAAATTTATTCGTTTAATAAGGCATGGAATTCTAAAACAAGCTTACTCATTTTTCAATTTTATTAATACATATTGTTTTTATCTGGTGTGTGAGTACGTTTCCATTGTTTTTTATCTAGAGAATTTTTGTTTATCTATGTACATCTGACAATACTAAAACCAACTTTATTCAAGAGCTTGTGAATAATCTTCCTTTTTGTCGGAGGTCTTGCTTATTTACACCCACGAATTTTAATTTTTAAAAACAAAACCCCAGCTCTGAATAAGCTTTTTGAGGGTGTTTACTGCTATTGGGAATTTGGGAACCTAATTTTTTTGTGACGTTGAGTGGCAAGAAATAACAAAAATACGTATGAAATGTTGGACTGAGCATTGAATGAATTGACTCACCTGGTTTATTGTTCTTCAGTTGTGCGGCATATAGGACAGCTACACAAAAGGAACATTCACTCCTTATAACAAAGATAATTTATTTTAACAACTGTAATGAATGAATCTTGGTCACGACTATCTGCAGAGTCATCTCTACAAGATCGGCGTGGCTGAGGATCCTACATGTAAATTGTGTCATCAAGGAACAATGGATGGAGACCATCTAAACGCATGTCCTGCCTTGAGGGACATAAGAGAAAAAATATTTTCACATATATATATATATATATCACAAAGTCTAAATTATACTGGGCAGCAAGATGTCTGATGGCCAAATGACCAACGACTGGCATAAGAGAAAAAAAAAAAATGAATGAATCTATTAAAGTATTAATCTTATAATTAACTGTAGGCTTAATCTTCTAAAGCTTCAGTGGATTGGGGTTCTCTTATGCCGTCACGTCATTCAGTCTTCACGTTCTAGCTTCAAGTGTCTTTACTTAGTTCTTCTCTCTCTTGGAACTTTTTCATGTTTCTTCCTATTTTCGTTCTGTACCTTTTTCGTTGATTGTTATTAGATTTGATACTCTTCACTAACTTGTCCACTGCACAATTGAGTCCAATTCCTACATTCCTTCTGATTCCCTCACTCAATGTCACATAAAGGAGTAAATAGAGGCTCGGGTTTTCAGTCTATTTTAATTAAATGCTCAAAATGTTTTTCATATTTTTGAATATGAAATTTTGTACCCTCAAAACCATTTGTGCGGGGATTTTTAACACACCATTTTCTTCAAAAGAAAACTACATCTGAAGAGCATAGAATTCTTGTGAAAACTCATGGTATTTATCCTCTATCAGAAAAAACATGCAGAGAACGGTTTCAACGCTTTGAAAACAATTATTTTGATCTCAGAGATGACGACAGTCCGAGTGCCCCAAAAAAGTTCGAAGATGAAGATTTTGAGGCTTCACTTTGTGAAGAACTCGTAAAATCATTGCGAGTTGATCAAAAAACAGTTAAACGTTTGAAATCTTTAAGAATGGTTCAGAAGGCGCAAGAAATTGGGCACCGTATCAATTGAAGAAATGGGATATCGAATGACTTTTACTCACCTGCGAACAACTCCTTCAACAACAAAAGGAATGATTTTCTGCATCGTATCGTAACTTTTGATGGAAAGTGGATGCGCTAACCCAAAGCGATAACAATCGTGGGAACTGTCCTGGCATGCTTCAATAAAGCTGTATGTCATGGTTGTAAGCTTATGCTTCGCATTTGGTGGGATCAGCTTGTTATTGTTTATTACGAGCTGCTTTAGCTAAATGAAATCATCGAAGGAGATTGCTAAAGACTACGATTGATGTGTTTAAGTGAAGCCCTGAAGCAAAAGCGTTCACAATATGTGCAGAGTCGCGAGAAGGTTATTTTACTGCATGATACTCGACTTCATGTTGCAAACCTGGTTAAAACCTACTTTGGGAACACTGAGATGGGAAGTTACATTTTTACACATAAGAAGTTATATTTATCATACATTGCTCCTACCATTTGTTCTAATTACTAATTCGGCCTGGATGCGCAGCGCTTCCGTTCTTATGCAAATAAAAAATGGCCGGATTGCTGCCTTCACAGAAATTTTTTTACTTAATATGGAATCCATATGTTACCTGAAAGATTGGATAAAAGAAGTGGATATTAATGGACTACGTTTTGAATGACCTGTGTCTGACCATTTTTTATGAATCAAGTTTTCATTTTCATATAATAACGGTGGGACTTATTCACACACCGTATAATTCCTCACTAACATGAAATAAAAGAATTTTTTTAAACCATTAAATTGCATTCAATCGAAATGTTTTTGAAAGAAATATTTTTATCATCTGATTATCTAATACCAAAACTGAGAATAAAAAATATAAATAAATGGAGTTGGTTGTTTTTGAAATTTTATGTTTTAAATGTTTTATAAATTACTTAATTATATATAAAAAGGTGTAGTTTTTAATTAATTTATTAATTATGTTTTAAAAATTAAATTTGGATCATATTTCTATACTCTTTGTTCAAATTACATCATTTTCAATTTTTGTTAGGACATATTAAAACTTTATTATTAATTTTAATTTAAAAAAAAAAATACAAACATATATTTTGTTAAGTGGATATAGTATACAAAATTAATCTAAATTTAAATGTTTTGCTTTCTCATTACCAAAGGTTGGGAAGCTTCGAATTAGTAAGAGAGGTTAAAAAAAATCTGCTCAGAATTAAAATTTTTCACTAGCGGTTTACGATTCGGACATCAAAGAACTTGGATTCTGAGTCTGTCTGCAAAAAAATCCATGTGACCGTTAGTGAAATTGTTTTGATGAAATTTTGAGGGACTGTGCGGATTGGTATCTAGATGGTTCTATATCGATTTAATTAAATTCTATTCTCTACTTGTACTTGTGGATGCGAAAACATATTATGACACCCTTATACATATAAAAAAAATCTGGTGCACGGAACATACAACTTTCACTTACCACTCTACTTTGAATAGAAATTATTTTCTGGTAATGTTGGGCGCTTATAAGATTTTTAACCAAGCTAAAGTTTGAAGCTTACGACTAACAAATCATTAATACCATTAAAATAATAAAAATTCTATTTATTATATCAATGGTTGATTATGGATTGTACGACTATTAGTTATTAAACTGTTATTTTCTATTGCAAAGTTTACTAAAACATGGAATTACGAGATTTGCATTGCCTGTCATAAATAGGTCAAAAGTTGTTACACTAATTGTAAGTGGATACTGTTGGGATGTCACGAAGGGAAAATTCATCAGATTATTCACTAATTTAATTTTCTAAAAGGTTATAGATGATTTTTTTTGGAATAAACAGATGACAGATACCTAATTATTTAAATATAATATGAGATCTAGGTTATTAAACTACAGTAAATGTATTTAAGGTTATAGCTTATCCACGAAATATTTTTATATTTCACTTCTTCATTCACACAAGCCCAATGAAATAGTATTTTAAACAATGCCATTGCCTTGATTCAGTGGATTGTAAGTACTTTTTTTTTTAACTTAAAAAAAATTTAAAAAGTTTAGTTAGTAAGAAAATTTCGTTCAATTTCCTTGGAAACATGTGATTTACGTTAAATAATGTTAGTTTTCAGAAATTATTATTTATATTTTTCTCGTCACTCTCTGTTACTTTCTACAACTTTATTTATTAGATATCATATTTTTCTAAAATTCTCCACTTTACAACGATATATTATAAATATACCTTCTGACTATTATTTCTGGAGATTCATTTTCGACCTGGATAAGCATTTTTCTTTTTTCTCCTTTATTCAATTATCAAATTCTTTCAAAAGTTATATTTAGCCTTTTTTCATAACTCCAAACAATAAAAGATAGTTAATTATTTAAAATAAATCAAATTAAAGGTACTTTAGAGGAAGACGTTTTGAATATAAGGCATTTAAGCCCTGTTAAACGACATCGATAGGGGTGAGACCTAAATGATATTAAAGATTACCTAATTATACATTGATACACCGAGTTAAGTCTTTTGAGCCATATTTGAGAAAATCGTAAAAATGTGTTAAATCAATGATAGTGCCACTTCCGGTTAGCCGATTTTAACGAAAAAGTTCCTGTAATATCCCAGGCATATACAAACCTTAAATATACAAATTCACTTTTGTACGATTTTTCGTTTTTGAGCTAGACTATTAACGTATACACACAGAGACCATTTTGTGGGGCTTGGTTATTTGGACTCATGGGACCTCAAAACATTTATTTCCGTTGAAAACTAAGATTAGAAAATGTTCACGATTGCAATACTTTCCTTTGCTATATATTTATAGGTTAATGAAAGTTAAAAGGCTTATTCGATTAGCTTTTTAAAAGGAAAGTTCCATCTTCTACTTCTGCATACGAATGTAATTTTTTTTTTCGATATACCTTTATTTTAAAATTTGCTCATTTCTTTTGGCTTATAGTTGGGTAAAATTTGGATAATAATGTGCAAATGATCAGATATCAATTTCTATTAAACAATTGAAATTTATTATGCAATCTTTAAGAAGTTAATTTATAAAGGCTGTGAAATGTGGTAGGAAGCAAGCGTATGTCAGTTATCAGGGAGGTTATAATAGTTTTTAAACTTTTTTATGTGCTTATTTTCTTATGTATCCAATAAAAATTATTCACATGACACATATTTTTAAGTTTATATCAATTTATTGTTTATTTCAACAATAATTTTTTTTTTGTATTGTTTCAGGACGAAATCCTCAGATTCATCTAATCCAAATTCATCTACCGGCTCTGGTGATATTAAATCTGATGAGCATAAAAATGTTATATCAGAAGGAAGTAATGGCCTACAAATTAATAATGAAACTTCTAGCGTCAGTGAAAATTTGGAAAAAGAAAACAAAAGAAAAAATGAAAATGAGTCATCTCATAAAAATGCAATATCCGATAATAAGAATCAGCTTAAGCTTAAAAAGCTTAGGCAACTTAGGGAAAGAAAGTTAGATAATTCTAGTTCCGAAGATGAATATACCAACAATGCAAAAAGTCCTTCCTCAAAATCTACTAAAGAGGATAGTAAAAAATCAGTTAGTAAAAGTAAAAAAAGAAGTAATAAACAAAAATCCACAACGGACAGCGATAGATCTTCCTCATCTGAAAGTTCTAGCTCTTTGGAAAGAAATAAAACTTCAAAATCTAAAGAAGAAACCTCTGCAATAAAAGATGTTAAAACTTCAAGCAAAACAACCATAAATTCTGTATCAAGAAGGAATTATTCACCAAAAACAAAACATAGGAAATCAAAGTCAAGAGATCGATCAGTATCAGCAGATAAACATTCTAGATCAAAAGCTAAAAAAACAAGATCTTCCTCGAGATCTGAAATAAGGAAATCTAGATCTGTATCGAAATCCAGAATAAGGAATTCTAGATCACAATCTAGATATTTTAACAGAAAATCTAGGTCGAAATCAAGATCAAGACAAAGGAAATCATTATCTAGGTCTCGGGATAGGAAGTCTAGGTCTGTTTCCTACTCTAGATCTCGAGTGAGAAGGTCCAGATCGAGATCCAGAGTACGTAGGTCTAGGACGCCAAAAAAACATTACGGAAGAAAGTCCAGATCTGCCTCAAAACATAAAAGGTCTCCATCACCACCCAGAGCCAAAACAAAGAAATCTAGATCACCTTCCAGAGCCAAGACAAGGAGATCAAGTTCACCATCTGTTTCTAGAGGAAGAAGATCTAGGTCGATAAAGAGGAAATCAAGATCCAGAGGAAGGAAGTCTTCTAGATCTCCCTCTAAGTTACTTTCTTCCAAGTCAACAACTCGAAGGTCAAGTTCAAGGTCTAATATTAGATCGCTTTCAAGAAACAGGTCAGGCTCTAAATCTCGACATTCTAGGTCTCAAAATAGAAGATCTAGATCTAAAAATGAAAGATCATTGAAACGTCGCTCGAGGTCTAGAGACAGTAAGTCGAGATCCAAACAATCAAGTGTCAAAAATTTAAAAGGAAATAAGGAAAGAAGTGCTAGATCCTCTTCTAGCAAACACTCATGTTCTAAATTGTCTGATTCAGGTTCTGACAAATCGGAATCAGATTCAAAATATAAAGAAAGTAAAAAGAAGAAGTCAAAGGATAAGAAGTCAAATTCTAAAAAACACAAATCTAAGCATAAGGATATTAATTCCAGATTATTAGCATTAAGCTCTACTAAAGTCGAATCGAGTTCGGAAGATTCTAGTTCTGATTCCGAAAGTGGTGATAGTGACAATGATAGAAAGAAGTCCAACAAGTTTAAGAATTCAAGTAAAGATAAAAGTTCACGCACTGGTGAAGACAAGAAAGGTAAAACAAGCAAATCAAAAAAAGATCAAAAAGGAAAGAAATCAAAAGATAAAATTGATTCGATTGAATCAACAAAACCTAAAATTTCAAAAGAGATGGACTTGGCTGATACTGAAAATCTAAAGCCGAAAATAAATTTGAAACAGAAGATTCATTATTCTCTTATCGATGATGACCCTATCGCAATGACTGAATCTGAAATGAAAATCCTCACTGCTAAAAACAAGTTAGCTAAAACTGCTAACTCTTCTGCTGACTCCTCATCAAAGAATTTAACTGAGAAAGAAGGGAAAAACAAAGATTTTTCAACTCTCAAAAGATTAAAATCAAAACAGGAAGGCAAAACTTCGGATTTAGATGTTCTCAAAAGTACTTCTGTAAAGTCTAAATTTGAAGAACAAGTAAAGAAACTAAAAACTGATGAAACAAAAAAAATTATAACCGAACATTCGCCTAAAATAGATGAAATAATGCATAAAGGGAAATCAGAGGATTCTTTTAAAAATTCCAAAGATACTGAAGTATCTTTAAGTAAGTCCAAAAATGAGGATACAGATAAAAGTGAAAATTCTTCTAAAAAACTTACTTTAGAAGATTCTGCTAAAAATAAAACTGATGAAATCTTTACGGAAGTTACATCTTTAAAAGATAAAAGTGAAGAAAAAAAGTCTATCATAACTAGCAAAGGTAGCGTAGAAAAAACTAAAATTTCTCTGAAGGATGACTCTAAAGATTCTGAATCAGAAATTGAATTGCCCCCAACAGCTAACTCTTATGATTCGGACGGACAACGGTCTGACACTGCTATGAGAAATATATTCTTTGGTAGCAAATCTTCCTCTAATTCTCCAGATCGGGAGAATGAAAGTTCTACCAAGAGAGCCAGTTCTCGTTCCTCCGATGAAACCGAATCTGAATCGGACAATGAAAAAACATTTTTTGGTATATCTAAAGATCGTACTGATAATACTTCCGAGGGTAGTACCAAAACTGAATCTCTAGTCAAAGCGAGGAGTCATTCTTCAGACTCAAACGATTCCTCTATTGATAAGAATATTACTGATTCCGATGAAGATTTGACCTATGGTAAAAAACAAATCATTCCGGATAATACGGAGATTTCTGGTCTAATAAGTAAAAAAGATTTTCCTTTTGAAAAACCCAGCTCTGTAAAAGACCACGAAAAGGTTGAATATTTCATTATTAACAATGACGTCAGTGGTATAGAAGTGCCTGCTGACAATGTTGAATCGACCAAGGAATCTAGTCTGGCATTGATAACTTCAAGCGACCCAACTTCAGTCAAAGAGCTTTCCACTTGTATTGACAAAAAGAATGAAATTTTACTAGATTTATCTCCTAAAAGAACTAGTTCTCAGGACTTATTGTACGACTATGAAAAGTCAGAAATAGAAGATGAAAAATTAGATTTTGATGAGGATAAGTCTTCTGAGAGTGATGTTACTCTACCTTCAAGGATGAAAGAAGACGTCAGAATTCTTGATCAAAAAGAAAAACCCGAACACACATCTTTGGTTTCCAAAGTCAGTAAAGAAGTAGATGAAGTTTACACAAGTAAGATTAAGATTAGCCAAGATGATGTAAGTTCTTTAGTAGCGTTAGAAAAAAAATCTTTTAGTGATGAGAATATTATAAAGGAAGATTTGGATAATGAAAAGTTAAGTTATGAAAAAATAGTTACTGTAGAAAAAACTGCAGACGTTATTTGTGACATTCCCTCCTCAAATATTAGTGATACTCTTGATATTCCCGTTCCATCAGTAGAAAAATTGGACGATATAAGAATTCCATTTCCTTGCGATGATTATAAGAAGGGATTGAGTGAATCAAAAATATCTGACACCAATATAATTATGCAAAGTGAATCTAAAAGTGTAGTTAAAGTAGATGAAACTCCTGTTAATAATAAAAATGTTCTAACATCACATTTTATTAAGGAGAAAGAATCACTAAAAACGCACGACTTAGTTGATGATTCTACAGTGTGCCCTTTGCCGGTTGAAGATAACAAGCAGAAAGTTACTACTTCCAGAGTTAAATCTCTTTCTAGGAGTAGATCTAGGTCTAAAATTAATAAACGCTCAAGAAAGGCTGAAAGATCGAAATCTAGGTCAAGAAGGGAAACGTCCAGTTCGAGGAGATCAAAATCAAAAGATAGATCTTCATCTAGAAGATCGAAGTCCAAAGAAAAATCTAGTAGAAAAGGAAGATCAAAGTCTCGAGATAAAAGATCTCGTTCGAAAGGTAGGCATTCTAGGTCAAAGGAAAGAAGAAGACGGTCTAGAGAGAGGAGAAGCTTATCTGGTTCAGGAAGATCTCGCTCAAAAGACAAAAGTTCAAGGTTAAAAGATAGGAGGTCACGTGAAAGAAGGTCAAGGTCAAGGAGACGTGCTTTATCTCGGTCTAAAAGGAGAACGAGTTCTAGAGACAGAAGTTCTAAATCAAGAAGGCGGAACCGATCCAGGTCTAAGGATAAAAGGTCAAGATCAAGGGATAGAAGGAAGAGATCAAGGTCTCGTGATAAGAGGTCCAGATCGAGAGGCCGTAGAGCTCACTCTCGTTCTAGAGAGAGGAGATCCAGATCCAGGAAGAAGAGAGGCAGATCTCAATCTTCAAGAGATAAAAGGTCCAGATCTCGTACTAGAAAGGAGCGCTCTCGAACGAATTCCAAAGATAGGTCAGTATCGAAAGATAAAAAATGTAAAAAGGATCGCGAACAACAAGGAGGTTGCAAAGTTAAATTGTATTCGAGATCTAAGTCATCGGAAAAAAAATCTGAGATGAGATCTAATTCTAGTGACAAAAAAACAAGATTGCCTTCAAGACAAGAGAGATCGAAATCTTCATCCAGGTCATCTTCCAAAGAAAAAGAGGAAGACAAAAATAATAGAACTAATACAGTCGAGAAACCAGAAGCAAGTGATAAAATCATTTTAAATGTTAAGTCTCCTGTTCAGAGTAATAGTAATGTAGTATCGTCCAATAAAAAAGGTTTTTCAAGATCAAAATCTGAGGAAAACAGGTCTTCCAGTGAAAAAGAAATGTATACTAAGTCCTCTTCTTCTTCATCTTCTTCTGAAAAATCACCTGAACGATCTTCAAAAGAAAGATCTCAATCACCGTCATCTGTTCCGAATCCTAAAAAATGTAGATCTAGGTCTAATTCTATTTCTAAATTCATTATTGATAGTAATTCAGGTAGTAAAAAGTCAAAGTCTCCTGATACCAAACTAAAAAGATCGAGAACGAAATCTCCTGATTCTAAGTCAAAGAGATCGAGAACGAAATCTCCTGATACTAAGCCAAAGAGATTGAGGACGGAATCTCCAGACTCCAAGTCTAGAAGATCGAGATCAAAGTCACGGGATAAACGGAAAGCTAAAGATAAAAGGGCCAAATCGAAAGATAGATCGAGGTCAAAAGAAGTTAAAAGCAAAGCAACAAAAGCCAGAAAATCTAGATCAAGAGAAAGGAAAAGTAAAACGGAAGAAAAATCTTCCAAATCTCAGAGGAAGAGGTCGAGGACTAGATCAAAATCTAAAGAAAAGAATAAATCTAGGGACAAAAGGTCTCGCTCGCGAGAGCGTAGGTCTAAGTCTCGAGATAAAAAAAGCAGAAGGTCTCGATCAAGATCCCGAAGAAGGAAAAGTGACAAAAAGGACAGATCCAGGAGGACAAGGTCACGTTCCAAATCCAGAACTCGGAAAAGATCCAAAAAAAGCAGATCTAGGTAACTATTTAATTTGTATTTATCATTTAGCCTTTGAATTGAATTTTTTTCTTGGAATAAGGAAAAATTTATTTACCCTTTTTCAGGCCTAGATGTTGATTATTTTTTTACATTTTATGTTGGTTTTCAAGCCAAAATAGCATTAAATATATGTTTTTAAATTTTTGTAAATATTAGAATAGTTGTTACGGGTGTCAATAAATGTGGTGTCCAAATGTATACCATGGCCATTAATCAGTATAAGTGATTTTACTATATTGTTGATACAATTGTGTACTATCGATACATTCTAGGAATTGCATTGTAATTTAATATTTTTAAACAGCGATTACAAAATCTTCAAACATTCATAGAAGCAGGTATTAGTGTGGAAATTAAAACATCTTCATTGTTTGGGCTGAATTCATAATGCTATTAGAGTGGTGATTCTCAGATTTGATAGTTTGCCATTGTATCGACGATATAGTCAAAATTAATATCTTGGCCATTGACTATCGAAATTGTTGTCTGGCTGACGAATAATCATGCAGTATAAATGTTCTGTAGTAATTTTGTGAAATTTATAATTTATATAATTGTGGGTAAATGGTTGACTGTCCTGAATAATGAAGAGAAGAATAGTTGGGTTGATCAGTCAAATAAGAAGGCAAAAATAGATGGTAATATTTATTTTGACATTAGCCGACGTTTCGACCTGAAGTTCAGGCCATCATCCGGGCTAAGAAAAGAACCAGATAACAAGGTATGAGAAACATAAGTAGTGTAGGTAAAAAAATTAAATTAAAATGCAGCTGTTAGAATAATGACAATATTAAGAACTAAGAGATAAATAATAATAACCGCTACAAAGTGTGGAAAGATGAAGTAAACATAATCAAAAAATGTGACATAAGTATTAAAATGGGAATCTTTATATCTTATGGGAATCTTTTTTTTTCCTTTCTTCTTTCTTTTTTCTGTTTTACATTTTATTCTAAGATTCCCATGTTAATACTTATACCGGTTATTATTATTTATCTCTTAGTTCTTACTATTGTCATTATTCTAACAACTGCATTTTAATTTAATTTTTTTACCACCACTACTTATGTTTCTCATACCTTGTTATCTGATTCTTTTCTTAGCCCTGATAAAGGCCTGAACTTCAGGTTGAAACGTCGGCAAATGTCAAAATAAATATTATCATTTATTTTTGCCTTCTTATTTGACTGATCAACCCAACTATTCTTCTCTTCATTATAATTTATATATATTCAATAAAGCGGTAATAATAATAATAATTGACTACATAGATTGTTTTAAATATTTTAATCTTATTCCAACCTTCACCAATTCATTCATACATCTAGAGACCCTCCTGGGGCCCACCCAGCCTCTATAAAGTGGCTACCTTTAATTAAATAATTGACTAAGGGGAAAACCAGGCAGTTGAGCATGATCTTGGTCAAATCACCTCTGTGCACAACCGTTGACCAAAATACAGTACTTTGCCTAAATAGTACTGAACCCGAGACCCTTCATGAGTTGTAGCGGTACAGGTTTTTATTTAGTTTTTTATATGCTTCAACTTCTTTCTTTTAGACAACTAAAAGTCAACAAATCAGTTGAGTCCAATTGATTTTAAGTTTATTCACCCATTCCAAAATTTCATATGTACTTTTTATGCTTGCCTCAAAATGTCACTTAAGAATTAGGTACCTGAAGTCCCAACGACAGTAGACAACCTCAAAAAGTTTATCCAAATCAGTGTTTTGTTTTAAAATTAATGTTAACTTACAGGGTTTAAGTAACCAATACCCCCATGCAAACGATAAGTTATTTATAAATTGGTTAAAAACTAAATAAATATATTATTACACTTTCGGATATTTAAATTTATGTATTATTAATAATTATATTCTTTTTACTTTTCAGGAGTCGCAGCAAAGATGAATTTTTCATTGACAAGTCTAAACTTCTAGAAATCGCTAGGAAAAATGCTCTTAGCATGATGAAACAAGGAGCTGTCGGCACAGACCTCAACAAAGTCACTGCCATCACCGCTGGAGGAAAAACAGTTGATGAACTGACAGGTTTTTAAATTTTTATTTTTGCTTCCCTAGTGAATAATTCTTCTCTTATCTTATTGACAACTTAAATGACAGTTTTTAAAAATTATTTGGTTTGGAAAGGTGATTGATTATATAAGAGAAATTAGCTGGTTTCAGTAACAATTATAATTATATATAGGATTGGAGTAGTCTCATTATATATAAGACTTCCAAAGCTCTCAATGTCCCGCTTCGAATCTGGCTGATAAGAAATAATTTATCAGCCATGAATTGATGACCCTGGAAATCTGGAGACCCTCATGGGGCACACCCAACCTCTGTAAAATGGGTACTCTTAATTAAAATAATTTAGAGAGAAAACCAGTTGAGCGTGATTTCGGCCCGATCACCTCCCTGCCCCATCGGCCTTGAATCACTACTTCCATCTGAAACCATTCTTAGCATCCAAAAATCTATAACTTGTTAAAATTTATTTGTTCATGTGCACTATACTTCTGTTTCATTTTTCGTTACCAGAAGTATCCTTTAATAAAATGTATTAATTGTGATACATTTCCCATAGTAGTCTGATAGAGAAGTTGATGGAATTTGGTTTGGAATCTTCATAGGAGGCGATAACACAAAAATTATTTAATTTAGATAATTAAAAATTACTTAATAGTAAACTATACAAAAATGTCCTTCAAACAAAAGTAGATTTGTTCTTTATCAAAACCATTTAAAAAGTGGACTTTCGAGCTATCAAACTACGCTAAGTTGTGTTTTTCATTAAATAACGGATTATTCGAGATATTTTTATCATCCTAGAACTATACTTCAGACAGACAACTTATATAAAAACTTCCTTGTTTAATAAGCTTAATAAGTCATATCAATTTAGTTGAGGTTTGTTGCAGAATAAAGTTGAAATTCACCTGTTTTTGTGTGAAAAATTATATGATTTATTATTCCGTCACACAGATACTCAGAGAAATTATTAAAAATTTTAATTTCTTCTTTTTCTCATGAAATAAATTAATTATGAAAATACACATTTTATCCATTTAAAAAATATGTTTAAAAAATACTGCTATTTCAAAAATTTTTTATATAAGGTGATAATGAACCATTGTTTATGACATAGATCTCTTTTGTGGAAATTGATCCTTATGATTTTAAGTTATTAACTAAATGTTTTTAGTCCTAATATTTAAAATTCTAGTGTTTCATTTTTTTCTTTTTTAAAAATTCATTTACAACATTAATATATTACTTTCAGTTGCTAATGCAAACTGCTTTCGGTTATAATATTAAACCATTAGCAAATTCAACCTCAACTAAATTGATATACAATTAAAGCTTTTTAAACAAGGAAGTTTTGGTACTTGTATAATAGCGAGTAGCGTCCGACTGTTATCTGCCAATGTTTATAACCTTAATACTGATAACTCAAATAAGCCACCGATAGTATCTTTGTATTAATATTTAATGTATTATATTCATATTATTACATCTTCGAATTCATATTTATTTTATTGTATTGATATTATTGAAATTGTGAACAAAAACAAAACCAAATGTAATAATAAAAAAATACTTTTATTTTACAAGCTATATATTAAATAAACCAAAATGTTATGCATATATAATTAAAAAACATTAAGAAAACATTGCAACATATATAAAAATAAATGAAATAATAAAAATAGGCAAAAATATACAAAAACAAATGAAATAATAAAAAACCACTTAAACAGCATATGTAGTCATATGAATTTTAAAGGTGTAAAAAAATAAATCCAGCACCCCTCTAACCGCGTTCCTTTCCTTAAACCACTCATAGAAACGGTTTTGTCACAACTACGAAAGCATCTCCATTTAATCTTCCCGTCGAACTTCATTTGATGACCTTAATCCCAATATTTCACCTTTGCAATTATCCCAGTGTCTTGAAAATATTTGATAGCCTCTTCTGTAGACGACAATTCCCACAATGTGACAACATCCACAATTAAATAACACTAACTTCATAGCTTACACAAGGGACAAAAAATAAGCAAGGGAATAACTTAGGTTAGAGGAGATAAGGGAGGTTATGTGAAATAAGATTAGATATTGTTATTCCTTGTGGGAGGTTTTGACACTACCCGCTATTAAACAAGTACCGAAGTTTTTATAAAAGTGGGGTGTCTGTAGTATAGTTGTATGATGATAAAAAATATCACGAATAATCCGTTATTTAATGAAAAATACAACTTAGCGTAGTTTGATCGCTCGAAAATCCCATTTAAATTGTTTTGATAAAGACAAAAACATCTTTTATTTTAAGGAAATTTTTATCTAGTTTAATATGAAGCAATTTTTAATTATCTGAATTAAATAATGTTTTTGTTATCGCTTCTTATCAAAGAGAAAACACAATCACCTTAAAAAAAGACAAAATGAACTTATCTCCTTTTCCGTTAAAAATGTTTAAAGATTAAAATCTCTGACAGATCAGCTCGCTCCTCATTCCACCAGCTTCATATTACCACTTTAGTAGAATATTTGAGACTTACTGGTGTCAAACTCGTCCAGGTGATGTTTGATGGCCTGTCAGTCTTGTTCCATTTTTCAGTTCATGGACTTCTGCCGAGACTGGAATAAATGATAATCTCTCGATACCGTGTCGAACAAATATGGAAGATGAAAAGAAATGTCCCATCCGAGAATCCGCAGTTTTTTTACAGGTAACTAAAAGAAGTTGAGGGACCAAACATTTTCTTGATGAAAAACAAAATCTTTTTAATACTTTTTCTTGAATAAAACAGCTGATTTTGTTAATTCTGGAAAGTATAAAGTTTATTCGATTCGACATCTGATGATGACAGTAGCTCGTAAAATCGTTTGAAAGTTTTTATATAATCTTTGGAGTGTCGTTGATGATTAAAATTTCTTTATTCAGATTACTTTAACAAAATTAAGGTCCATATACTAAAAAAAAATAATTATTCATATTTACTAATTGATAATAAGCCCTATACTGATTCAATTGATGAAAAGATTATTAGAAATTTTAATAATTTAAGATGAACGTTTCTTAAAATATTCTCACAGAATTAATAAGCTTTAAGTGAGTAAATTCATCTAATTTATTTTACTTTTTTTTATATTTTGATGCATAAGATATTATTATTAGTATTATATTGACAAACCCTTCCCTAACACTATCCATGTATGGATCGTTTGTGAAATATCCTTCATTTCAAGTTGATATTCTGTAGCAATTATATGCTTCTTGAGAGGCTTATACATCTGAGAAATTCCTCCGAATGAACATTTTTCAAATTGAATCTCAGGACAAATCTCTTGTACTACCTGGGTTTATTTATGAAACCATCCAAATGATGAACTTTGTAATAACAATTTAAAAAGCAATATAAAGGATGCATGGGGTTGAATTGCTGCCATCGTATGATAATATGAGCTTTAGTGAATGGCAGGGGAAACAAATCTAACAATAAAATGAAGTCCAAAAATTTATTTGAGGAAGCAGATGCTCCGGGAGTGGTGGTCATAAAGACTAAAATAGTAATAAAAATATTTTATTTCGACCCACCTTTACAGATCTTCTTCAGGGCTAAGATACAAAAGGACATAGAAAAATGTGAACGTTGCATGATATTTAGATAAAAATTATAAACAGTTTGAATAAACTTATTACCACAAATCTCAGGGATTTTTTATTTTTTTTTATTAAATCTTTCCTTGAGATTTGTAGGATTATATTCATAATTATGTATATTATCCAGGGTAGCATCCGATCTGGAAAAATGCGAAAAGTTAGGAAATTTTCATAACAGGGAAAAGTCGGGAAATGTTTTTAATACGTAAATATTTTTTTTCAAATTGGAAATAAATGTACAGTGGATATTGTTTATAATGACCTTGAAGGGTAAACTTTGTCGTTATAAACGACCACTATCGCTATATCCATGCTTCTTTGACTGCCAATAACAGCACTGGTCGTTATGTTGAAATCTAACACGGATAACAAATACAATTTAAGCAAAATGGACTTAAAACAGTGCTTTTTTGAATAGAAACCATACCAATATTGTTTACTAAGGAAGGAGATGGTTTGCGGTGGCGGTTATAAATAGACTAAATAGTGACAAAACTATTTTATTAAAAGCCAACATTTCGACCCGACTTTGCAGGTCTTCTTCAGAGATATGTATTCAGCAAGGAGTTTCACTTAGAACTCAATAGACTTGTGTTCTAAGTGAAACTCCTTGTTGAACACACCTTTCTGAAGAAGACTTGCAAAGTCGGGTCGAAACGTTAGCTTTTAATAAAATAGTTTTTCCACTATTTAGTCTATTTATGACTGCCACTGTGGACCATCTCCTTCCTTAATAATACAACGGTCAACTATTAAGTATTCAATATTATTTACTATTTGTAATAACATCTGAGTCAAGATGTGACTGGTAAGCACTCATTCGTTTGAACCATGGTGCTTCTTAAATCAAATTTATTTTTATGAATTTAAATTAGGGCACAGCAATGCACAAACTGATAAATTAATGAAGTGTGGGATCAGGAAACTATTAACCAGTGTTCTCTGCAGTCACCAGAAGTTTCGCAAGGAAGATTTAGACTTGTAAGACAAGGAATGTCGTGGCTGTCTTTCTGCTGTTGACAATGACCAGCTGATGTCAGTAGTGGAAGAAGATCAAACCAAAATCAACCGATCATACACCACTCGGAGGCAATTGATAAACGACCACCAAAGAAATCTGTTTCATACTTTTGAGGAGCAATAAAAATGATCCATTTCTCGCAATCGCACAGTAGTAATTGTGATGAAAAATGGATCTCATTCGACTACAGAAGGCGATTTTAGTCAATGGTTGGACAAAGATGAACTACCAAGATATTCTCCAAAGCCCAACTTGCACCCCTGAAAAAAGATATGGTTACGGTTTGGTTGTCTACTATCAGAGTTAGCCACCCCAGCTTTCTTAGTATCTTGGCGAGACTCTCACTGCCGATAAGTA